GTTGCTGCAACTTGCTCTGCACAAATGGGATCAGAGGCAGCCATTCTTCTCAAATTTTCATGGCATGTTCCAGGAGTGCAGTAGTGAGGAAGCCCACGACCAATAACTGACAAGCACTTAGTACAATGCTTTTCTGCATTTTGCGAAGATTGTTGGGGAACTTTTGGTGCTGAATCTTGAACCTTGCTTAATGGATGCCTTTCTTTTCCCTTGAGTTTGGCAATCTTACAAATGGAGCACTCACAGACTGTAGAAAAACAAGTAAGAGGCTTGATCGAAATTGATTCAAAGTCATAAATCTGAGGCACAACATTTGTTTTACCATCACACAGCTTTCCAATGTGAGATCTACAGGAGATGCAGGTCGCCAATGGTACTCTGTCATCATTGAAGTTGATTTCTTTCTGAATTTTTTGAAGAATTTTAGCTTTGAAGTTTTCAGTCAATTCTTGATCACCTTTCTTCATACAGATAACACAAACAGATTTTCTACATTCTTCATGGTTTTTGGCAAATGTAGGCATCTTTATATTCTTAAATATTTGTTCACAAAAAAATATGTTTTCCTTCAAAAATCTTAAAGTGTACTGCCTTTTCCCAGAATATATTTGTTTACTCTTTTCGTTAGTTTCGAAAGTTCGATTTTACGCTTGCACTGATCAAAACGCTCAATAAAGAATTATTTCAAAAAAAATTGAATAAAATAATAAACATTTTACGTTTCATGGGCTACAATCTTTATTTTATAAAAAAAATTAAGGGAGCAAGTTTAGTACCATTAATAGGCAGCTTAATTTGGCTCATAAATCAACCCTTTTAAAAAACCTTCATGATCAAATAATTCTTTTTGATGTTAATCCCCGATTTCAAAACAACTCAATATAGACTCCCATTGGCATGTACTATCCCCCCTTAAAAGGGTTTTCATAGGATATTTCATTGATATTAGGGTCCTAAATTTACAAACCGTGAGTTTTTCAAGTAGAAACATTCTATTGCAAAAACTAAACCAATGGTTATTGCAAACGTTAGACCAAAAATAAAATTATAAAAAATTTAAATAAAAAAAAAATTAAATCATTTTACTTGTGTTCAAGGAATTTTTATTTTTCAAAAAAATAATTTAAGCATGTACTTAAACTTAACGAAATATAAATTGATTTATTTAACCAAATTTTTTCTCACTTTTTGTTACAAAACAATTTAAACAAAAAAATTAAACAAAAAAATATAATAATATTATCAACTTAAAAACCATTTGAATGAAAAAACTATTTATACTTATATTTTTATTAGTACGTTTATTATACTAAGATTTTTAATAGTAATAGCAATAAATTATAAAAAATGTGGTATCTAATGGGGCCATAAATTACGTCACGCTTAGGAATGGGGGGCAAGGGTTGTTGATTTTGTGATGATTTGTTACGAGGGGGAGGGGGTCTCCATTTTGTGATGCAACATTTTTTTTTTTTAGAAAAGACGTTTTTTTTTAAATTAATCTGACCAAACCAAAACCCTCAGTTGATGTATCTACATGTTAATTGTAAAATCTACAACGTTTAAATCTTACTTAGTCGATGTGTACACTCCGTTACAGCCTGTTAACAGTTACAGCCTGTTAACGGATTGTTACGGCTGTTTGAGCAGTGCACGTTCTGCGTGAATTTGAATTTATATAGTTCAAGTGCAGAGCTTAATTTAGTTGGTGTACAAAAGTGTGCACCAATAAAAAAACAATCTTTGTGCAATAACTAAAAAAAAAAAAACTTTTTGATACCGAGAAATGAACTGGAAACCTCGGTTTTCCAGACGAACGTAGAATCCACTCGACCACGCTTACGTTACCAGTTAAAAGAAAATGTATTTATAAATTAATATTTGCATCATGTTTAGGAGAGCGATGTTAATTTATATAATTTTAAACGGAACTATTGAGGTGAAAAAAAAACATTAAACAGACTGAAAAGTACTAATTAATTAACTCAAAAAAGCTCAAAGAATTCTAGACATTATTATAATTAACATCGTTTTGTATTTTATAATTAACATAATTTTGTAAAATTTTGCACCCCCTCCCATCCTCTCTAAAAAATTTTAGGTAGAAGAGGTACAAAATTGTTGCGTAATATTGGGAGGGGTCAATAGTGTTACGGATGTGTTACGAGGAGGGGTCAAAAAATGTCAAAAACTGCGTGACATAATTTATGGACGATCCCCATGCTTATGCCTTTTTTTTTTAATTAAATGCTTCTATATATTTAATTTGTTTTATTTAAAACACGTTTTATGTTATTAATATTGTAATAAAAACTTAACATTATAAAACAGCAAAACAAACAGCGTCTCATGTTTGTGTTAATAAACTCTAAACTTTGCAGTTTGTTTTATTGTTGTTTTACAGCATTTTACAATAAAAATTCAATACTCTTTAAAAATAATGCATTTTATCATCAGCATGAATGTATTAAATAGTTTTTCTACAACTAATTAAAGTGGTTTAAATATTGTAATATTTGCACTTTTACTTTTACTTTTATTAAAAAGTACTTAAATTTTTAAGCATCATATTAATTACTAAGAGTAATATCGTAATAGTATTAAACACTTTAGTTGCTCATTAAATCATAACTTACTCATTACACTATAACTGCAACTTAAACTATAAACTATAACTTAAGCTGTAAAATATAATAGTAAACTACACTATTTTAAACTCCACCAAACAAGAAAATAAAATAATCTTTAAATATGAGAGAAATAAAAGGTCCTTAAATTTGTATTTTGGCGGCGCCCCAATACAGTCGATGCTATTGAAAACGTTCTAGAATAGCCCCTGGAGATATTATGTTTAAAAAACAACAATTACGAACTTATATTGAAAATATAATTTTTTTACTAATGCAACCCCCTCCCCCTCTTACCGCAGAGCAGCACCAGGGATGAGGGGGTGGAGTGAGATTTTTTTTTTGCAATTAGATTTTTTTACATTAATTCGAGCCCTGCATATATTCCAAATGTACTTTATCTTATAAATTCACTAAATTTTTCATAAAATAAGCATTTTTTTTTCTTGCTTTTTAAATATTTTATTAGAGATTAAAGTTTCTAAAACTTTTTATTTATAAATTGAAGAGTGGATTATATTTTCCATTAAAAAAAAAAGTCAATTTTGTGAGACATTTTTTTGACAATTTTCAATCAATTTTGAGTTGCCCTAATTATAAATAATAAATTTTAAAATAGTCCCATTATACCAAAGAATTCAAAAGTGTGGGACTATTTCACCTATAATAATATGAAATTTCATAATAATATGAAACAAACATGGAAATACTCAATGATTAAACATTTATAAGTTAAACATGGAATTTCTTTACCAACACAGGAAGAAAATTCTGCCAATAAATGATTTAAAACTATTGAAACTTACATTTCCTTCACAAGAGCCTTTAGAAGAAATTGTCACTAAAATAGCCAGCAACGGTACAAGTGTAATAATAAAATTTGGAAGAAAACCTTCGAGTCATTATAATTTGTGTTTGAATCACACTATACAATTAGTTGTTTGCGATGTACTATATAAAAAAAAAAACAATATCATCATGCAAGATAAAGATGATTATGGTCAAGATGGTATTGATGATGATCAAGATGAAAATTTTTATTCTGATGAGAGCAACGAAGAGAGATGACATCAAAGAATACAGACAAGTTGAATTAACAAATTAAGACAATATAGAAGGAAATATAACAAATGTTTGTATAATTGTTAATTTTTTTAAAATTCTGTGCGAAATAGTGTTTTAGCAAGAAAAGATCAAAATAGTTGGAAATGAACTTCAGCTAGTGTTACAAGGAAATGAACTTCAACTGGTGTTAGATGTAAAAACTTGTTAGAACTTATTGCTTCAAAATGCTATATAGATTTTTAAAATTACTTGATATCATTAAAGAAACTCTTCAAGATATTTAAAGTTTACATTTAATAGAAAAAAATTAATATTGAATTATTACATGAATTGGACAATATGTTAAAGCCTATTAAATTAACTGTTGAAGATTAGCATTAATTATGTTGAAAAAGTAAATTGCAACTGATTATGTTCACAAATCAAAAAAAATACTATGGTTAAGTAAAGATCTATTAATAATAATGAACATTTGAATTAATAGCCGTAAAAAGCAAGAACTAGAAGAGTTGTTAGATTCTCTTATAAATAATACTATGCCTTCAAAGAAAAATATACAACAGATTTACTGAAAAGATCATTAAATGGAGATGAATAACTGCAAAGCACACATTATGAAAAGGGACATTCAACTAAATATTCCTGTAGCATCTAACTTCTGTACAAGAACTCTAGATTATAGGATAACTCATTGTGTGCATTAGTTTTTTCAAGTTTTATTTAAATATAAAAATTAAAATTAAAAAATAATTGCTCTGGTATGTATTAAATACTTATAAGTACTTTATTTAGTTGAGTTTAGTTTTGCATTACTTTTTTTATTATTTTTGAGTACATTTACATGCATTTTATTATAAATTATAAATTATGTTTGTAAACACTAACGCATATTTTTAAAAAGCAATGTCAAGTTTATTTGGTAGTTTAACACCATAAAAAAAGTATAGAATAATATATTCACAATAGGTGTTGAAACCAGCTAAAAATCAATTTATTTACCAATAAAAATCGATAACATTTACCAAATCTCTTGTTTTTAATCGGCATGAACTTGAAAAAATTTTTCATGCTATTGTTAAAATTCTGAGAAAAAAAGACAGATTAGACCTGAAAAATAATCGTAGGCTAGACTTGGATTGTCGAATCCAAAATGATTGGGTATTTCCGAACCCAAATCATAAAATCAAACATCAAAACAAATACAATAACAACAATGAAAATGCTTAACTAAAGTTGAATAAAGATTAATTTACATATGATTGCCATGTTTTCTCAGCATGTTGTTCCTTAGTACTTTTAAAAACTTACCCTAAAACCTTCACTATCACGCATTTGCACCTGCAACAATGAAAGATCACGTAAAATTTGAATATTATCCTAAAGAAACAAATCATTATTTAAGCTATAATGCTGCTTGTATACAATTAAGAAGTAATAAGTTATAAAGAGTAATTTTGAAAAAAAAAACATTAAACTAAACAAATATAGCAATTCTCCTCTGTGTAGTTAAGGCAATTTTAAAATAAAACTATATCTGTATATTTTGCTGACCTTGACATATTTCGGTTTAACATAAAATAAAAATGCTTGTAGAGAAAAAATCCAGACTGAAAATTTGTTTTGGTTTTTTTAAAACTCCTAAAAATCACGATTGCTTGTCCAAATTCGAATAAGGTTTTAAACAAATAAGTTAAGGTGGAATAAAGTTTTGAAAATTAAATAAAATGGAGAAAAGTTTCTTTAAACATATAAAACTGAAGCAAAAAAAATCTAAAGCTCATTTTTAGACATAATACACTGAAAAAATCACACTAACTTTAAATAAAAGAATTCAAATAATTTAAAAATCGCCTTAACTACACCGAGTCATAACATTGTTGAAAAATGTTTTTAAAAACATATTGTAAAAAAATCTTGATTTTAGGAAATTTTTTATAATAAACCTGTTTATACTGATTATAACTAATCACAAACCGATATTGATGTTGGTAATAATAATAAACCTGTTTATACTGATTATAACTAATCACAAACCAATATTGATGTTGGTAATAATAATAAACCTGTTTATACTGATTATAACTAATCACAAACCGATATTGATGTTGGTAATAATAAAAAACCTGTTTATACTGATTATAACTAATCACAAACCGATATTGATGTTGGTAATAATAATAAACCTGTTTATACTGATTATAACTAATCACAAACCGATATTGATGTTGGTAATAATAAAAAAAAAATTGGTAAAAATAAACAAAATTTTTACCTTGTCCCATTTTAATGCATTTCTGTAACATTTAATTGCTTCATCATACTTATGATCAGCTCGTTGTAAAAGTCCATAAACGTGCCAGCACACATGACTACGAAGATCGTTTTTGAGACCTCGTTTAACGTATTCATAAGATTCATCTTTTCTTCCTAAATAACTTAATGTCAGACCTTTCATTGCCAAAGTTTCTAAAAAAAGATTATAAATATCTAACTATTATTTGTCTCAGTCCAATTACAGCTTTATTATTTATTTGATGCTGAATTGCAGATGTTGGTAAAATTCCTAAACCCCAAACAATCATTAGTTAACTTGATAATATTGAAAATGTTATAATTATAAATAGTTATAGAACTGAAGATCAATTTAGATTATTGATGTTACTGATGTTTGAGTTGTTGTTATTGGTTTGAAATTTAAAAAAGTTTTTTATGTTTAAAAACTATTAAATATTATTTGATAGTTAAAAAAATTATAAAAGTTTGAAAGTTAAAAAACTACAAAATATATAAATCAAGAAAACATAGCATGAGCTGAAATTTATGTGATTGCTGTGAAAAACTAAAACTTTCAAGTTTAAACAAACTAAAATTTTTGAGCAAGTTTAAACAAACCCAAACTATTGATGACATTATTCAAACAAAATATTTGACAAATTAGAATTAAAACTTTGATTATTATAAAAAAAATAGAAAATAAAACAAAAAAGAAGGAAAAGAAAAAGAGTTAGGCTGAAACCCAAATGATTATATAAAAACATACTCTTTCTTTTAAAAAAAGACTATAACTTAGTCAAGTGTGAAACAATGTAAAAGGATGTAAAATAGATTCATGACTAGTCACAAGAAGTAGAGTTCAATTAATGGAACTTCATGAGTAGTCAAATCGATTTATTTCCAAAAATACAATCCAAAAATGACTAATGTTTGCATGTTCCGTTCGATACTTTTTTTTGTCCGTGCGTGATTTTGGTTTAAACTACTATTACAGAGCAAAGATACATCGTAGAATGCTGTAACTTTGTAAAAATCTTTTAAAATGTTTGTATAATTACCTATAAAAAACAAAACACTCGTCACTAATACATTTTCAGAGAAAATAGGATTCATTTATTAATTTTTTATTTTTTGCTTTTTTCTGTTCCGTGCATGACTCCATTAAAAAATTCATTTATTTTATAAAGCAACCCATAGCTACCATACTTTGTATAGGTAATATATACATAGATGTCAATTAAATAAAAGTAAGTCAGTGATTACAAATTGCATTATTTTCAACATAATTAATGCAACAGATGCAATGTTCCGTGCGTGATTTTTTGAAAATGCCCAGCAGTAATTAATTTGAGTTATGCTACGCAACGGTATAAAAAAGATTATAAAAAATGCCAAATATGATCGCTTTATTGATTTATATCAATGTTAAATTAGACTTACTTCACATTGATATTCAGACCTATGTATGATTTTTAATGAGTAAAAAATTCTCTACCATAACTAATTAAAAAAGCAGTGGGAGAGACTGCAGTTAGGGTTAACCCTAACCAGTTAGTGAGAACTTTGTCTAACTAAATATTGGTTAAAACTGCAGATAGAACTATGGCTTACTGGTAGTTTGCTTGTTTTACTCAAGATTTCAGTAAATTTTAGTTTATAAACAACAAGTTTACAAGAGGTAGAGAAAAAGGGGATAGTGGTGCTAAACAAAAGCACATAAAAGAATAGTCTGTGGATTCGAACCAAGTTTCCTGACAAATGGGTGAATTCTTATAAATTTAAATGCCCAGGCCAAGCATGTGACTATTGAAGACTTTACAAATTAAAGGAAGAAATTCATTGACATTAAGCAGGCCTTCTCGTAAGAGGCGTGCGATCGCACGCCTTATATGACCACGCATAAAGTTAAAGACAGACAGAAAAACAAACATCACATTTCTTTATACAAATGTTGTCATTTGATTAGGATTTTTCAAAACGAACGTATTACTTCAGCAATTTTTTTCAAAATAATTTTGCCATCATTAGTTTTTTATTTATTATAAAAAACACATATTTAATATGAAAAACAATTAGTTTGATAGACTTAAATTAATGCCAAAACATTAGTACTTTTTTCAATAGTGTCACTTTTAAGTAAAATAACTAAATACGCTATAAAAAAAATTGTTTTAGCATGGTTTTTGTATGCGCTCACAAAAGCATACATAATTTTACTTAAAATGAATGCTTTTGCAAAAACATCAAAAGAAAACATGTCCAAACATTTCGATTGCTTTCTTTTATTGAAAAAAGCAATCATAACGTTTAACAATGGTTTCTTTTATGTTTTTAGCAATTACATTAAAAGCAAATGTATTCATTATAAATAAAATTTAGCATGCTTTTTTTAAAATTTTCTTATTTTCTATAAAGTGAAATAATGTTTGTTTGTATATTAAAACTTTTGCACTTTTAAAAGTTTTTTTATTGTGCATTTATCTTTAATTTGCGTGCACTTTGCAAATGTGTAAAAAAAAGGTTTTTGAAAAATAAAAATTGAATAAATTTACCAAGCATCTTTGATATATTTAATAACTTATTAACTAAACTAAAAATTATTTGAACTTTATTTGACATAAATCTCTTAAATTAGACGTTCATCAATAAATAAAGATAACGTTCATTTAAAAAAAAAAAAAAAAAAAAAAACGATATATCACACTCTGGGATAAAAAATAGTTGGCAGATACGATTGTTTCAAGATTATTGTAATTCCTTTTTTTTTTGTAAATAATTCCATTTGTAAATTTTTTTTTGTAAATAATTTGATTTGTAAATAATTTTTTCGTAAATAATTTCTGTAAAAATTTGTGTAAATAATTAGAAATTATATTTCCATGATAAAATGGTTTTTAATTATTTTTTGATAGCTTCTGTACTCATTTTGCCTTTAACTCTAATCTGAATATTCTTTTCAATGACTGCCTTTAATTATGTTGCATTAAAGTACTCAGGAAATTTTGTGGGAGTTTAACTGTACTTATGTAATCAATTAAATTCAAAATTACATTTGTTTGTTTTTTTGCGTATTTTTTAAACGTGCTAATTATCAAAACTTGCAAAGAGCCGTGGTCAAGTTGTTAAAACAAAGAACTGTATGCGTGGTCATATAAGGCGTGCGATCGCGCGCCTCTTACGAGAAGGCCTGCTAAGGTCACAAGATGAGACAGCTAAACTCAATTTAGTATTACAAAGAGCAAGTAGGTCTGGTGAACTTTACAACAGATAAAACTTAGCAAAAGAAAAGTTACTTTGAAAATTATGAATATTAGTGAATGATACATTTAGAGAACTTTTGTTTTTTATAGTTTTTGGTACTATATATTTTATATATTTTTATATTATATATTTTATATATTTTTATATTATATATTTTATATATTTTTATATTATATATTTTATATTATATATTTTATATATTTTTATATTATATACTTTATATTATATATTTTATATATTTTATATTATATGTTTTATATATTTTTATATTATATATTTTATATATATTTATATTATATATTTTATATTATAAATTTTATATATTTTTATATTATATATTTTTATATTATATATTTTATATATTTTTATATTATATATTTTATATTATATATTTTATATATTTTTATTTTATATATTTTATATGTTTTTATATTATATATTTTATATTATATATTTTATATATTTTTATATTATATATTTTATATATTATATATTTTATATATTTTTATATTATATATTATATATTTTTTATATTTTTATATTATATATTTTATATTATATATTTTATATATTTTTATATTATATATTTTATATTATATATTTTTATATTATATATTTTATATTATATATTTTATATATTTTTATATTATATATTTTATATTATATATTTTATATATTTTTATATTATATATTTTATATTATATATTTTATATATTTTTATATTATATATTTATATATAATATAAAATTTTATATATAAATTTATATATAAATATATATATATATATATATATATATATACACACACACACAAACATACATAGATATATATCTTATACTGCTGAGTTAGGTGAGCATGATGATATCATACTGAAATAGCCTGCTGCGGGGGCTTCAGTACATATATCAACTGACATTAAAGAATTTGGAAATATATATAAATATATTACCACCATGCTCTGCAAATTTTGGATTTGAAAGTATCTGCTTACAAAACTTCAGACCATTTTTGTACTGTTTTTGCTCGTAACATTTCTAAAAAAAGAGTGAATTTTTTTTTTTTTACCAAGAAGACATTTATTCAAAACATTTTTAAATAATATAAAATATATATAATTTTTATAAATACCAAAATTCTTTTGAAAATCGTGTTTTCTTTAGGAGGCAGTTGAGATGGCATGTTTCGTAAAACTCATTAAGTCAATCTAAAAAAAAAATTATTTATATTATAGACATGTAGACAAAATAAAACTCAACGTATTCTAAAAATCACTTCAATGAATTTTCACATATATAATTTTTTATACAATATATCACTGTCATACATCATGATACACACTGTGTGTTTATCATGTTATAAAATAAATTATTGCATTTATCATGCAATAATATTTGATCTAACCACTTGTTTACCACTTCTCATATTAAATAAATATTTTTAATTATATATGATTTTTATTATTATTATTATTATTATTATTATTAATTTATTACTATTGTTATTCATTATTATTATAATTACTTTACTTTCTATTATTACCTACTCTTTAAACTATATGAGATATTTCTCTTTGTTGTCAATCATGTATTTTAGTTCGTATTTCTAACTAGATTTAACTTTGAGCATAAATTGATTGTAGATATAAAAACAAATAAACTATTATTATTAACATAATTATTACATGGTCCTTACTTAAAATTAGTTTCACTTGGTATACTACTTGTAGTCAAGGTTAAAAAACTATGTGAACTTTGAACTGTGAAGCTGGCTCAAAATAATGTAACATAAAATATTAAATATTTAAAAATAGTAAACATGTAAAAATACATTTTTGTTATGGCAATTTCTAATAATTTTAATTTTTTTAACTTTAAACCTATGTATTTTTGCAAAGTTTATTTTTTTCAAGTTATCCTAAATTAGTTATATTTTCATTCATTTACTACAAAACTCGTCTTAAAACATACACCTTAAATGTATGCTTAAAAACATTAGGAGAAAACTATCTTTATATATTTTTAATTTTGATTGCAAACAGCATTTACACACTGAACACTATATGCAATTATATTTTAAAAGTTTTATTCCAGGTGTTAGTTCTATTTTTAAAGTACTGAGGAGGTAAAGATATAGAAATAGCTAAAACACCAAGATATAACTATTTTCAAATCGTTTCCAACTTTGATTGGAAACAGCGTTTAAACACTTTTCTTTTAGATTTTTAATGCAATTATTTGTAAGAACGATAAAAGCCTTGTAAGAACGATAAAAGTTCTATCATAAAAAGCGTTTTAATTTGAGCGAATTATTTCAGTCATTAAAGTTCCAAATAGAAGTCATAGTTTAAGGTTAGATATTAAATATTTCAAATGTCAATCTTGATATTAAAGTAAATTAAATTAAAAATAAACCATTTTTATTCGTCAACATTTGTTTAATGTGTATAATGTATAATGTCATTTAAATCAAGTATGAAACATATAGAAAATGAGACAAAAATTTTCTTTATCTTATATTAGTGAAAAATATTTCGGAAGGAGTTAGTAACATTGTTAAAGTACTGATGTACAGACATACAATTTTAACATACTATTTCCTTATGCTTCCCACTACTGTTCTCTTACTTTTTTTTTGCCTCGATTGAACATATTGCAACTTCGTTATGTTTCGCCGCAAAAATTTAAAAACCTTTGAGCCGCATGCTACTACTGAAATAACCCCGCCATTTACAAAAGATTTTTCATTTTTTTTTAATCAAAAACCAATTTGATTTTTTGCGCCTTGTTTCTTTGCGACAACTTTTCCTATTTCCATCGTTATTTTAAACAACTTCAGATTTTCTTGAAATTTCTTCGTTTCGGATAACCCCATTTTAATAAGACAATGACTTAAAATATTATGTTAAAAATAAACAGCAGTGACAAAATATTGTCAGGGAACGCCCACATTTTAATAATTCCATCCATAAATTATTGTAATTTTAATTAAAGGAATAGCTGAAAATACTAAACGTTCATTTTCTTAACTGTTTTTTTTTTAATATAATGAAAATAAATTATAAAAGTTATTTTTATTCAAACACCTTACACAACATTTAGATATAAAACGTAAAAAGTTATAAATAATAGCCATTCACTTTTATATATATATATATATATATATATATATATATATATATATATATATATATATATATATATATATATATATATATATATATATATATATATATATATATATATATATATATATAATATATATATATATATATATATATATATATATATATATATATATATATATATATATATATATATATATATATATATATACAACGATAAGTAAAATGTAAATTCAAAACTTCATCAATTTTTTTTGCCACTAATTGAATGTTTTCAATTTTAAAAAAATAATAAACTCATTTCTTATATGAACAATTCCAGATTAAGAGCATTTAAATTATCTTAATAGTTCGGGACTTTTGGCTTGCAAGTTAAACAGTTGTTTTTATCGAGGTAAAGAGTCGGAGACATCTAGGTAAAAAACCGGATACTGGTGAAATTATATTTTAACTCTTACATCCGTTAAAACCAATTTGTTATGCCTTGCTAAAATTAAATGAAAATAAATTTAAATGAAAACTTGTTCACTTTTGTCTGCACATATGATTTTTGTCTGCACATAACATTTCTACTATAACTCAGGTAGCTATAATTGTAATTATAGCTACCTGAGTTATAGTAGAAATGTTTTACCTTTAGTAGAGATAATATACCGTTAGTAGAAATGTTGTTCCTTTAGTAGTGATATTGTACTGTTGGTAGAGATATTGCACCTTTATGCAAAAATAAATTTTGGTTTGAATATATCAATAAACTGTAAAAAAAATATTCATATTTATTTATTATTAAAATTTTTTAAAGTTTTATATCTAGCTTAACATGTAAACTTGAAATCTGAAAAAATAAAAATAGTATAACTTTTTAACGGAGTAATTAATTTTATTAATTTAAAAAGTATAATGATAAAAAAGTCAAAATAAAAGTATAAGTTTCTCATGCCATAACAACAAATGGTATCCACTCTTGTAATTATTTCGGAAGCTAGTCAATGTAAACTTTCTATGTCATTTATCTTGATTGAAACCTCTACTGTATTTTTAAATTTATCTAGATTTTCAGTTAGCCTGTTTTTAATGTATACCAATCTTTTAAATGCATACCAAAAATTTTCAATCCGACGTAATTAGCACATTAGCAGGTTTATGCTATTTTGGTACAAACTTAATATTTTTGAAGTTTAGTTTTGCACTTTACATGAATAATGTTTTACGGTAAAATCAAGACAGGAAATGAAATTGTCATTTTTATGATATTTTTCAATTAATTTCTTTGATCTGACTAGTTAATTTGAAATATAAACATTTACATTGACTACTAGGCTCTATGGAGTATTGTAATGCTGGGAAATCCTTTCATCAAAAATGCTATACCAACGAGTAACCTTGGCTCGAATTTGTAGAAATTGAATTTATTTTCAAACGTTCATTATTTAATGCTGATTTTTTATCTAAGGAAAATAGGATCCAGCGTTTCCAGCATATTGGTCAATCATCGTCAATAATAAATTTTTTTTTTCTGAAAAATCAAAAATAATCTACGGCATTTTTCGAATGAATGTTTTTGTGCCGATTTTCTTTTTGGTGCTTTAGCTTTTTTATGATAACAAAAATGTTATTAACTAGATTAACGTCTGCTTTTACTTGTTTCTAATAAAGCAGAGATGAATGTCCTTTAAAGAATTTTAAGTTAAGTAAAAAACCGTTATGTCAACGTTTTGTTCTGGTAGAATATTTTTGCTACAGTAATATTATTTCAGAGATATAGATTTTAATTATTCCTTTTTCCAACTCCACAATCTAGGGGTGTGGAGTCGTAAAAAAAAAGTAACGACTCCGACTCCGACTCCAGTTGTTGAATTTTTTTGAGTACAACTCCGACTCCGACTCCAGTTGTTGAAATTTTTTGAGCACAACTCCGACTCCGACTTCAACTCCGACTCCGGCTCCAACTCCAAAGCAAAATTTTTGAAAAATTCTTTGAATTCTTAAAAAAATATTACGCGATAAGTTAAAAATTTATTTTTTGACAAATTTAAGAAACGTTCTTTAAGGTTTAGTATGAACATAAGGTTAGTTGAATGGTTTGTACATGTACGTGTAATACCGGGAAATTTTACTATTGGAGTCGGAGTCGCGATTTTGTTTAGCGACTCCGACTCCGACTCCGCTAAAAAAGTTGCAACTCCGACTCCACAGCCCTGCCACAATCAGTGTGATATTAAAAACAACCAAATTAATTTTTTTTTTTTAACGTTTTTTATTATATATAAGGATATCGAAATTTTCAGTTTGAACAGAAAGTGAGCGGTAGTAATAACTTATAATTAAATTTGTTGTTGTTGTTGTTATTGTTGTTGTTATTGTTGTTGTTGTTGCCAGTGGCGCTAATTCAATTTTTTGGTCTTTGAGATAGCTAACTTCCAGACATGGAGTAAACTTCAAACATTTATATGTTTATACTTATGTCAAATAAGGATGCTTAGCAAAAAATTGCGATGATTGGAGTCTGGGAACAAAAAATCTCCAAAACTTTTGTCTCCCCCTCCTGCCCCAAACGTGAGAGTAACAACTTGTTGAAATATTTTTTTTACTATTTTTATTTTTGTACTTAAATTATTTTAAAAATTATGACCATATAATACTTGTATTATATGGTCATAGTTTTTTGAACGCTAAGAGATAATACTATGAAACTTAAAATTTATCGATAAATATAAGTCTAGTTGAAAAAAGTACAAAAAAAAACATTTCATCAACTTGTTACTATCACGTTCGGGGCAGAGGGCAAAAATTTTGGGTTTTTTTTGTTCCCAGGTTCCAATCATCACAATTTTTTGCAAAGCATCCTTATTTGACATAAGTATAAACATATAAATGTTTAGAGTTCTCTCCATGTCTGAAAGTTAGCTACCTCAAAGACGAAAAAATTGAATTGGCGCCACTGGTTGTTGCTGATTTTTTTTTTTTTTTTTCATTTAGGTGCCTTATAATATGTGCTCCGTAACATGTGCTCCGTAACATGTGCTCCGTAATATGTGCTCCGTAACGGAGCACCGCGGTAGTACGTTCGACCAGGAATTTCACGCCTCCTTCTTTACCTTGACGCGAAAATATGCCCATAGCTCGTTTTGAACCTGGATCTCCTGCTTATAAAGCAAGCGTTCTAACCACTGCGCCACGGCCGCATATTGTTGTTGCTGTTGTTATTGTTATTTTTGTTGTTGTTACTGTTGTTGTTGTTGTTGTTGTTGTTGTTGTTGTTGTTGTTGTTGTTGTCGTTGTTGTTGTTGTTGTTGTTGTTGTTGTTGTTGTTGTTGTTGTTGTAAACCTCAAACATTCTTTTATCTAAATTAGTAAACATTGCCTCGCTTTCTATTTTTTCTAATCTTATTGAAACCTGGTCAACAGTTATTTGTGTTAGAATTTACCCCCTGAAAAATTATTTTTTAATCATACGTTGCCACATTTTAACAGTCCAATCTTTGCGATCTTTGCAAAATTTGAGGCAATTGAGAATACTTTTTTTAGAATGGCGTGGTTTTAATACGGCACTGTACAATTGAAGTTTAAAATGCTCAAGTGAGGCGTCTTCGAACTTTCGAATTTGGAAAAAACCTTTTTTTTTTTCTTTTTTTTTTTTTTTTTTGTAAATTTATTTGCCTTCAATAAAAGAAATTACAATTACAGAATAGCTTTATTACAAATATAATCGGCAGGACTTCCAGAAGATCATACGATCTTATCATGAAGCCCTTTACAATATCAAATATAATAATAATAACAATAAAATCAAATTAAGCAATAAAAATCAACATAAACTATATATAACTGTGCATTTAAAATATAAATATACTGGATAAATTATATGAAATATGTGAAACAAAAGAACTAAAAACAAGAAAAAATACTTTCTGTTGAAAAGATTTACTTTATTTAATTTTCGTTTGAAAGGAGTTAAAGTCCATTTCAATGACAAATCAAAATTTGGCAAAACTATTTTATTCCATAAATAAGGACCGCGATAAAAATAATTAGTTGTTCAAATTTAGTTTGGCAGAAAGGTTCTTGTAGATTTTTTCTATTGCAAAGATTGTATTTGTTTATGGGTTTTACATTATAAAGGTTTATAAATATATCAGGAGATAAATGATTTTTACATTTAAACATGAAACATAAAATATTATAAACATTTAGTTCGTATACATTTAAGGCTTTCATTTCTCTCAGAAGTGGTTTTGAATTTGAAAAACGATTTGCAAAATTAATTAAACGAGTTGCGTGTTTCTGATGCTGATAAAGAGATTTAAATTTAGTTTTGTGCGCGTTTTCCCATACAATATTTGCATAATTTAAATGGCAGTGGATTAACGAATAATATAATTGTTTTAACTGTTGTTTATTTAAAATATGTAAAAATATATAAAAAATAAAAATCTATTTCAAAAGATGGAATTTTTAGTGACAACGAAAAGAAATAAGAGATTTTTATCAGCATATTTTTATCAACATGTTTTTTCAGCCTATTTTTATTAACATATTAAAAATTCAGTTACTTAATTTACAAAATATCAAACTTTGAAAACTTTCACACTAGGAGGAATTTGATT